TATCAAACATTGTTTTAGTGAAGCTATGGTGAAATTACACCTCCACAATACTGATGCTAGTCTAATCGTTGCTGTTTGAAGTATGGCCACTTAGATATCCTGTTTAGGATGGGGCTGTATTGTCGCACCTTTGTTCTGATAAGGGCCCCTGCCCCCATCGACGAAGTGCGAACGACTGGGAGGGCCGCAACAATATAAGGCCCGAGGAGTGTCAGAGGCACGGTGTCTATCTTTGGGTGACTTGTGCTACAGTGCTGCTGTTTATCACACTGAAGTTTATATTCATGGATTTCTTCCGCGTCTGTGTCCTGTGCACCGCTCTCTTCGGTCTCGCCAAGGCTTTTACGCATCAGGATATGAAGGAAGCGCTGCTGAAAAATATGGGCCTGGATGAAATTCCAAACATCCATAAGAGAGATCTGGAGAACCTGGTTATTCCGGCACATATGAGAAATAAGTACTTGTCCATGTTGAAGATGCACCACAGCAGGAGACGCAGATCTCTGCCCAGTCTAGCGGGAATCCTGCGGGGAATCCCTGGTAATGCAGGTAAGGACCTTTCCCACTTATATATGAATATATCATGTAATTTGTAATAAAACAGTTTAGCCAGAAATCTAGAAAACAGTTGAAGGACACAGTTACCTCCGTGCGTAATTGTGACAATGCGCAAAGAGTATTTTACGCACGAGCTTGCCTCTAGCAAAGTGCAATTTTACGCTATTCAAGTGTAAAAAATTTCTAAAATGTTTTTTTTTTGTGCCATTTAGATATTTCTGGGGAGTATGTGTACTCTGACACCACACGGCAACGGATGGTGTTTGACATGGAGGCGCGGATCCCGGATAACAGCGAGGTGACCATGGCGGAGCTGAAGCTCTACCAGCGGGCTTCCTACCACAAACGCTTTACGGTGGAAAGGAAGATCCACCGACCCGTCAACAACGCCCGAGTCAGCATCTACTGGGTGGAGGTGCTTCCAAACGGATCCAACCGGACATCGCTGGTAGATTCACGGTAAGGGATTATTGTCACATGAGCACCAGAATATAGGGTACTGCATGTAGAGCCATTAAGAGGCGGCATCATCACGG